TCCTGGCTCTGCTGTCCTGAAAGCCGCTTTCCATCTCACTCCACCGCCGGCCCCGCACAGGACTCTCCTTTTTTAGGGAAGGAAACATTTCTTCTTTCCCCACCGTGTTGTGAGCAAACCGCCCAGGCCCCCGCCGGCCAACCTGGGACCATGTGTCGGCAACCGAGCCGGCCAGGGCGCTCCACTCCTTTCCCTCCCTGAGCACCCACCGTAGGCGGAGCGGCGCCCGGGGTGCGGAGGGGGTAAGGCTCCGGCGGTCCGGGGCTTCGGGGTTCAATGGGGTTCGCTACTGTAGTTCCAAGCCTAAAACACTTCCAGGACCGCTGTTACAGGGCGTCAGGACTCAGTAAATTCCGAGAGCGCAAATCCAGCGCGCCCCTGGGGTGCGGCCACGCCCGCCGCCTTTCACCCCACTGGTTCCCGTCTCCCCACGCGTGTTTCCCCTTCCTGTGTGGGCAGAGCGAGGAAAACACAGGCCTCCGCACCCGGCCTCGCGGACTTGCTGCCTGCCTTCTCTGGAAGGAACAGCGCAGCGGGCGCAGGGACCCCTAGGTGTGAGCCTGAGGTTTCCTGCCGGGCGCTCTCGCACGGTGAAGGCCGCCAAACTACGGCTCTGGCTCTGCCGATGGAGCCCTCAAATGCAACCTTGGGATCAAGTAGAGCATTTTTAAAAATGAATACATGTGGCCGAATTTCCGTCTTAAAAAACAGCATCAGGATAGAATAGCCCTTCTCTCTCTCAGCACTGTACTAGTATTTTTAAAATGCCCAATCTAATGTGTGCCATTTTGTTTCATGCGCATAAATCTGGGCATTTCGACATACATTTTGAATTGACATTGCTAGTATTAATTATAATGAGAATTATGTTAATTATTTTGAAAGCGAGAGGGCCTCACTGTGTAGTTGAGGCTGTCCTTTCAAACTTACTGTGTAGCCCAGGCCTTGAACTTGCGGCGATCCTCCCGCCTCAGCCTCCCGAGTGCACTGTCACGCCTGGCTAGAAGTCACGTGTGACTGCCTTTCAGGCTGAGGCTCTTCTCCATGTCCGATGCCCGTGTGTGGAGGCTGCTGGGACACCAACGATTCTGTGACAGCTTCAACACCCCAGTCAGTGCTGACTCGGCCTCCAGCCCTGGCCTTCCCTGGGGCGTGGGCTTTACCCCAGTGCCAACTCAGCCTTTTCCCAGGATTTGGTCTCTCAGCGTCGTCCCCGGCCTGGGCCACCTCATGAGAGCAAGACACTAGGGTGCTGGCCAGAGCAGAGGGGCTTGGGAGGTTCTCCCAGGTCGCTTTGTCTCTTGTAGTACAGTTCTGGGGGTGGAACCAGGGCTGTGCACGGGACCCAGTAATGACCCTGAGACTCCAGGGACCTCAGTGGGTGCTTACCATCTGCTGACCGCTTTGGCTGTAGTTTAGAAGCTCGGACTCCCTGGGGCAGCGTGAGGTCTTCGTATTACTGGAGGCCTCATCGCCCTGACAGTCTGTTATGCTGGAGGCCAGTTCGTGATACAAAAGCCATTTTGTTTAAATGAAGGCACGAAACGCCGAGGCTTCGGTCTGTGAGGCCCCGTTTATGAGGCTGACCCTCTGCACCGACTCTGAGCTTCTGGACCACTAGCTGCTTCCGTTACCAGTGTGTGTGCAGTGAAACCACCCCTCCCCACCGAAGGCTCAGTCCCGCCGCTGCTGGGCTGGCTCCTTTCGCAGTGGTGCACTCCGCTTGTCTGCCTGTTCTGCCCCCAGGGAAAATCACCAGGGTTGCCCTGCAGAATCTTCCGTATGACAAGGGTTCATCTTTCCGTGCGTTCTGGAAAGTGTCTGACAATTCTCCCACATTTAACACTCCAAGATAACCCGGGATGTTTTTGGTCCTGTCCTGTCCTCTGTCTCACCCACATTCTGTTGTGTGGTTTTTGGTTTGTTTGGAGGCAGGCAGGGTCCTGCTGTTTGGTTTGGGCTGGCTTTGAATTGTGGAGCCCGGGCTGGAGTAGAACTCGCAACCATCCTCCTGCCTCAGCCTCCTGAGTGCTGGGATTCCAGGTGTGCTCCACCACGCCTGACTTCTGTGTTTATTGAGGCTGCCTGCCACCCTCCCACGCGGAGTGGTCAGTGGACAGCATTCTCGCCCTGATGCGCTGCGAACCACACCGGGGCCTGTGGCAGGCGTGTGGCCTGGTGTGGCGGGTGGCAGGCGGGTAGCTGGCAGAGGCGGTCATGCTGCCTGCCCCTTACCACAGACACGAAGGCCCGCGTCTGCCTCAGGTGCCACGGCGTGACAGGCTCAACCTCCAGGGCAGGGCAGCAGCTTTCTTGCCCAGAGATGAGCAGGGCACTTGTTATAAAGGCGACAAATATCAAAACCTGGGCCTTCTCTGGCAGCCAGCGCTCATCCACACACAATGACTTTACTCAGGACTAAAAAGTGGGTGGCAGTAAGGGCGCCACAAAAACCAGAAGGCCGACGTCCCTAGACACCTTCGGCGGTGAAAATCACCTTACGTTGGTGCGTTCTATTAATGCAAGCGTACATACTACAGAAGACATAAGATTTCACCGTTTTCTCTGAAAAACAAAAGGTTTATTGTGTATGGAAATCAATATATATCTCTTACAAAAAAGGTTTGAATAAAGATCTCACATTTGCAAAGGCACATATGAAATATTTTACAGTAATGACGGCAGTAAGAACTTCCGCTGAGACGGACATCTAAATAAGACTTTATAAAAACAGACAGGAAACAGTGCAAAAAATACTGTCAAAGGCAGTTTTACACACCTCACCCTTGTGTATGAAACTGGCAAGCATAAGCTTATTTACTGATATAAAATAGCACATAGAAGAAGCATGCATAGCTTTACTTAAGGCTTTCAACATTATCAGACTGGAAGGCAGTCTGTACCCAAGTACAGTCGACTTGGCTCGAGACCGAACCGCTCCCCGGCCCGGGAATGTGCTTTCACGTCTCAGCCCTGCGTCTCCTCACAGCCCCTCTGGCAGCACAGCAAGCGGTCACTCGGGAGGAGGAGAGCGTCCCGGGGACCCCAAGCCCCAACCTGGAATGCATTTTCAACACTGACGACAGAAGGGGCGCCGGCTGCTCCTCGGGGGTCGCTCCTCACACGCGGGCTGTGCGGGGGCCAGTCCGCGCCTGTACTCTGGCCGGCGGGGGCCTTCTGTATCATTTCAAACCAAAGCCTGCTGGTGTGAACTATTCTGAAGGGTGCCGGTATTTGCAACATTTTACAAAACAGACCAAGCAAAGCATGGAAATACTGAACGAAGCAGAGTCCAACAGTCCAGCAACGCACTAGACCGACCTCTTTCGTGATGTAACAGGTGACGGGGGGTCTGCTTAGACAACGCTCACCGGTGCGTGCCTCTTCCTCTATACCCACGGCATCCGCAGGCGGGCCGGCCGGCCACAGAGGGCACCAAGAACACAGGCAGGAAACCATCTCCGATGAAGAGTGGGCCTCTGTCCCAAAGGATAAGGTTAAAGGGCTTCGGGACACCAAACAGTGGCGAGAGAGTTCGAAGGAAGTTGCAGTCAAATTTTACAATGTTCGAGTTGAAAAAGAAACGAGATGGCTGGCTCTGGACGACAGCTTCCGCGGATGCTGTATCTCTCTGTGTTTTTCTCAGCTAAGGCTGCAGAGGGGAGGAGGAGCCCGGCAGGGCAGCGCCTGGGAGGCCGGGCACGGAAACCTCAAGGCCGCATTCCCGAGACGGCTGCCCTCTCAGGACGTAGCATTTGTGATTCCCTGAAGGAAGCGGGCGGGAAGGGCAGCTCCTCGGGCCCAGGAAGCTGGTGAGACTGGACACGTCTACACTGCGGCATTCCCCGACAGCGCGCAGGCCCATCCCTGCTTTCCTCGCATTTCCTCCAGGACTGAGTCCTCATCAGGAAGTGAAACGTGGCTCACAGTGACCGCCGGGCTGCTGCCAGTTTTCTTTATTTTGGCGGTGCTGGGGATGGAGCCCGGGGTCTATGCACCGAGCTACATTCTGGCTTTTCTATTTTTTTAAGACACGGTCATTTAAGTCACCAAGTTGCCCAGGCTTGGAATGAACTTGTCATCCTTCTGCCTTGGCCTCCCAGAGTGCTGGGATCACAGGCGTGCGTTACCGTGCCTGGCTGACAGTTTTCTAGCTATCTTCATTCCTGGTATTTTTCCTTACCAGATCTTATTCCTTGAAATCATATAAGCTTTTTGGAAAAGAAAAAAAAAAGAAAAATGAAAAAGAATTGAAATTAGACTTCTAACTGCACATTTTGGAGAGGTGTGAGCCAGTGACTGTCTAGGACCAGGTTTAAGGCTCTTGTAGGGGCGGCAGGGATAAGGCAGGCGAAGAAAGGGCACTGTGGACAGCTGATCCTCCCCGCCATAAGAAAAGCCAGAGCCCTCAGGGCCTTGGGAGGAAGACGGGAACTCCAGCCCCGGCCCAGCAGGATGGGGCACCACAGTCGCCCTGCTGGGCCCCCTGGGGACTTGTGCCCTGGCAGCACCCCTGGCTTCCTGCGCCAGGGTGAAAGCAACACCAGCACCTTCCCCACACCGACGTCACAGAAAGGCGAGACACTGAGGGCTCCAGAGACTGCGAATCAGAGCCTCGTGGACGGGAAATTCAGGCTGACCTGAGCCCCTCCATCCCGCTCTCCCGACAGAGGGCCCCTCTTTGGGCAAACTTGGGGCAAGTTTGAGGAAAAGAGATGCCCAAAGGAAAGTGGTCCACAGGAAAGCAGAAGGGATAGTGATGGACACCTGTCACGTGCAGGCTGCCTGAGCTCCGGCCTCCTGCTTTGCAACTCAGGGTCCCCCAGTCTGTTTTTAAAATGGGAAGCAGGAACAAGGGCGAGGACAGCAGGGACAGATGCAGCCCCTTCCTTGTCCTGTACCACTGCACACCCTGTGCGTGCCATCGAGCGATGCCAGTGCCGTGGTGTCCATGAGGAGCTTTGTAGTCTTCCTGAGAAGGAAGATGCAGCTACATCCAAAAAGGTGATCGGTCCACCGGTTGCAATGCTACCTGAGTACACAAGGGACACACAGAAGCTGCCAGCGGTTGGGGTACAGGCCATGCCAGGTCCTGACTGGGTAAACTGAGGCTGGGTGTCACAGAACCTCCGAGCCACACCGCCGTGGGGCGATTCAGGCCGGCAGGGTTTGGTTCCTTCACCCGCCTGCCACGCTCAGTGCCGGCCCTTCCGACACAGTCACCAGTGAGGGGTTTTGCCCCGAATGATTCAGGGGCTGAGGTAAAGACCAGAGCCTTTCCCCTCTAGGGGAAGCGTCAAATGCAAATTCCCAACTTGCCGCTCAGGTCCGCCCTGCAGAGCTAAGCAGGCTGTGGGCACTGCCCACAGGGAGACTCCTGTTTCCCCATCTGGCAGCCGGAAGAGCTGCTACTCCACTCATGAAAGAAATCCCTAGATAAGAGCATGGCGCGTGTCTCATCACAACCACAGACGACAAACTGGGACACAGCAACAGGGTCTTTGCTCAGATGGGAAAACTGAGACCCTAGGGACGAAAGCCATCATGAGAGCTCCTTGGGGACCCCTGGACATTTCCGGGATTCCTCCCTCTGAGGTGCCCCAGTCTCTTCCAACACTGGGAACGAATGAACAGCAGACCAACGCCAACAGCGGCCCAAGCTGACCGCACTCCCGACACACCTGTTTTGTTACAAGGCCACCAGTGCCTCTGCAAAGCGCGACTTCCAAGCCCTGGGACACAGCCACTCACCGTGTGGCACGACTGTCACCATGGCAAGCTTCTCACCGAGCCAGGCTGCCTACTCCACATGCTGTCCTATGTAACTCACAGGAAGGGCACCTATGGGGGTCCCTGCCCTGCAGGGAGAAGAGACAAGGTCTGTACCAGCTGATCCACGTGAAGTTTCTGCAGTCACAGAAAACAGGCTCAATTACTGGAACCACGAAGGATGGCCTGCATTAAACTAGCAAGATGAGAAGGAGCACTCAGCTGGCTAAGAATGCCAGCCTGCCATGCCCAATGGCGTCTACAGCTAAAAGAGAAAACCAAGAGGAGGCAGGACCAAGGCTGCAGGAGTCCAGCCCGGCAGCGTCTGCAGGAAACCCCGAGGCAGGCAGACTCAGGAGGCAGCGGAAGATAGCGAGGCAGGGTGGCTCCGTCATAATCAGGAGTAGCTGTTCCTCTCAATCTAGAGTCACAAAGTTCGTACAAGGAAAATTGTGTCTAAGCTCCCTGACTCAAGATATTCCAGGCAGAGCTGTCCGCCCCTACCCCGGCTGGCTCACTTGCGTGTAAACATGCACCTCTGCTCACATGGGGAGAAGTCAACGTCTGTCCTCTTCCTCTAAAGCAGCTGGATCCTCACTTGCTGTGCACGGCAGAGCTGGGTGGAGATGTGACAGCGGCCTGCAAATGCGTGGTATCTCCTCAGAAGCCAGCACAACCAACTACAGGCCGCCTCTCCGCGTGTCAGGGATGAAGACATTGAGGGACCACTGTGAACCAGGACGAATGCTTCCAGTCCACATATCCCAGGGACAGCAAGTGAAGGGACAAAGTATTTCGACTGGGCAGCTTCAAAACCACAGGCCAGAAGACAGCCTGCTCCTGATTTGGTGTCTTTTATTTCTTCCATTTTTAATTTTCTCTCTTCTAATCCTACCAGCAGCAACAGACCCTGACAGCTCCAGCATCAGACTTGATACATCATCAGGAAACCATTCCCAAAGCCCTAACTAGATAACTAATTTAATACACTTTGCTTCGAGGTTTACTCCCTGGCTTGCTTCCCAGGTATAAAGCATCTCTGGATAATTATTATGTAGATGCCATGAACAGGACTTAACTGGCTGCTGCTAATTTAACAGGAGACACGCTGGCATTCGCTGGAGGTGTGAAATGAGTGCAAAACGTTCTAAAGAACCTGGAGCATTTTTTAAAAAATGACATCTATGGAGTGACTCGAATGTTTTCCATACAAACTCTGGCTGGGAAGTTGGATTTTCCACCCACTTCCTCCTGCATCCTGTGCTTTAATGAGCATTCTTGTAGCACAAGATGGGAACAGTGGATGGGTTGAAGGAAGCCCTGAAGGATGAGCCCAAAGAGATCTCAAATCAAGCCTCTTCCCCAGTGCCCACGCTGAAGCTCTTCATCATACAGTAAACTGGGAACCAACGCCAACTGTTCAACTGTCCCGAGGACAAAAAGATCTCCAAGAACTGGAAACAAAATCCCTTCAGCCTGGTGATCGGCATCTCTGTTGCACTGGAAATGAATGGTTTCCTTTTCAGAGCACACACCAAGACCCTGGTATCTACCCAGCTCAGAGGCAGTCACACTCCTGAGCTGACTTCACACCTTGGAGGAGACGAGAGAGGAGGAGTCTACACCCACAGCATGGTCACCACGACCTGGCCGGAACTGAAGCGGAGTTGGGTCACTGTCCACTGGTGCCTGTCCCATGTGTGGCAGGGAGGCCCAGAGCCATGCTCTTTCCACTTGATACTATCTGTTCAGCTCAGGAAAACAAAACAAAGCACAAACCTGGACAGCAATGGAGGAAAGTACATGGGACAGCCGACCTAAGTCATTTCTGAGAACAGAACCGGAATGTAAAAGCTGTGTTTAAAAAAAGATACCTCAGAAGGAAAAACTGCCCAAAATTCAGGAAGCAGGAAAGAGTGTGAGATGTGCTTTCTGTGCACTAAGAAATTCGGTCACAGGGAAGAAGCTGAGGGTGGCGAACACCATCGCTGAGCACGGCCAGCAGAGAGAAGGAAAGCAGGGCACTTGGTAAGGACACAGTGAGACGCGGGCCGTGAGCTCAAGTCCACAGGAGCGGCCCTGCCCTGCTCCTTGTGCCAAGCGGCTCCTGGCAGGCAGTGCTCCCCGCTGTTCCCTTCGTGACTTTTCCTCCGACCGTGACTGCTGGAGACGGATCACACCGGTCCTCCACACCACAGGGCAGGCCCTGCGAGCAACCCGGAGAAGCAGCAGGCTCCCGGGCACAGGCCCCACACGGCAGACGGGCTGCAGAGGCCAGGACAAGACACGGCCGAGGTGCTACTCCCGCCTCCCAGGGGTGCCCTTTCTCTTTCCTATCTTTAAGCAAGCTCGGGGTACAGGGGTATGGGTAGTGGGAGAAGAGGTGATTAAGGATGAAGGCAGAAATAAAGGACAGGACACTTTATCATGCCTCATGAGCCCTCAAAATAGAAGAGTGCTTCTCCCTCCAGGAAGGGTCTTGGCCTCTTGCCTTCTATTTCCTGATGAACTCATTTTCTTGCCACTTTGATTTTTTTGTTTTTTGTTTTGGAACTGGGGATCGAACTCAGGTCCTTCTGCTTTTGAGGCAGGCGACGGCACCACTGAGCTACACCCCCGGCCCCACTTTGATTTTTGACACGAGCAGTTAAGACGATGGGTCTCAGGCTGGGTTATAGACCTGGCTGCTGATTCACTGGAGATGTGCTCCCTTCTGCCTCCGTCCTCGGAGGGACCCACCAGGCCACCTTCCCTGCCGATGTCTTACAATGCAGATCAGTCAAAAGTGTGGTTCAAATGCAACGTACTGTATCACGGTGACAACTGCAGTATAATAATTCATAAATCTTATTCCAAAGAGAAAAAATAAATTATCTCGTATAAAATAATACACGACGTTGGTGGGTGATCCAGCTCGCGTCTCCTGTGCAGGCTCGGGTCTCTGCTGTGTCTGCGTGTGGAGCCGGATGGGGTTATATGAGTCTGGAGTTCTGGAGGAACTGGATGAGGACCTGGTAGACAAACTTGTACTGCGCGATGGTCTGGATCATGAACATCCTCTGCTCCCGGAGCAGCCTCAGCATCACGGGGACCTCCACCTTCTGCGAGGACAGAGAAGGACAAACGCTGAGACAGAGGCTTCCCTGGGGCCTCCCTCCTCCCCGCTTCAGCAAGCGTCGGCCTGATGCCCGCTCAGGCCCCCGATAAAGCAGAGCCCTCTCCCCGACCAGGTTCTAAAAATCCGTGTACGGCGGCAGTGGGAGGACCTGGTTGCTGACCGTCAGTGGTGTGGGATTTTAAACACGGTTTATTCTACTAGGTAGGACTGGCAGGCCGGGGTTCCGGCCATCGCGGGGTCTTAGTTTCCTCAGCCCTAAAATAAGGATCCCAGTGCTCTCCTCTTCCCCTGCGGCCCGGCCCTTGTCGGCAGCGCTTCCTCGGCGACACTGGGGGAAGAAACAGTATCCACCTTGCAGGGTCAAACGACCAAGCGCCCGTCAGGCATTTGGGGCTGCGTCTGGCACACCGTGAATTCTTCACACAAACAACCCACGTTCTCAACGGTGACAGCCAGAGTCAGAGGAGCAGGCCGGCCTGCTGTCTGGTGGGCTGCCATCACGATGAGGCACGAAGGTCCATGTGGGGCTTTACCACAGCAGAGCCTCAGCGGTCACCTCCTTGGGGAAGGCGTTTCGTTGTCAAGTGGGCTGTGTAAGTTCTCGGAGAACAGAGCTCTGTGGACTGGAAGGGAGCTCGCAGGGCGGGTCCAGGGGGCCTGCTCAGGCCAGAGGGTGTCCCAGGGCCCCTCTCTGGCCATTTCCAGGTAAACACCAAGGGTCCCGAGTCACACTGTCCGGCAGCCTGCGTGTCCTGAGTCCAGCCACGTGTGTGTGGCAATTTCTGTCAAATCAAAACATCATGCCGTGTCCTCGCCCACCTCTCCCACCAGATTCGGCATCATGCAACTCCTCGCTCTTCCCCAGAGTCAAAATGACTATGCCAGGACAATATATTGCATCAGCTCACAATGGCCCGAATGAAGACACTCAGGGAAGAGGACTCATAGAGCTGCTTCAGAAAGCAGTAAGAACAACGGGATGAGTGTGTTTGAAGTCAGGAGGAGGATTCTGAGGGGGATTCATGGCAATGTGCAGCGTGTGCTGCGTGTGTCCCGTGCCCCTGTCACATCTGGGAGCAGGGGACCCAGTCACTGCCCATGGGGCTGAGGCCCCCCCCCCCCGAGGACTCCGAACAGAGCCCTCAATGGTGCCAGACGAGAGAGACCCAAAAGCTTCATCAACTGCAAAGGGGCTCCAGGGGCTGAGGAAGGGTGGGTGTGAGCGGGGGAAGGAAGGAGACACTGGTGCTGGAAGTGGTCCGAGGGAGGAAAAGTCTCAGAAGTGGGCAGGGACAGCGCAGGCTGCTGCCTCTTCCTGCATCTTCAAAGGGCCAGGTTCACGTCTCCCAGCGTGACTCCCTCAACGCGCAGAGGGCAGGGGATGCCACCCAGCATGGCACATGCTCAGAGAAGCCACCTTGGCAGTTGGAAAAGCTGGGGCATGCACGGTACGCCCAGTCTGAGTGTCTGTCCCATCTGCTGCACCTCAGCAATCCGGAGAAGAGCAAGAACTCAAGACTTTCTGGATTTTCTTCTACACTGTTTTGAGGATTTCCGCAGAGGGCTTAGAGACCAAACACTAGTAGGGCTGGAAATGTCAGAGTTGCACCAGGGACCAAAGGTCTGGAAGACTCTGGCCAGGGGAGCGGAGATGAACCTGAGCATAAAGGAGCAGGCGAAGGCAAGGCCATGGGGCAGATGTGCACCAAGGCGGACTTACCTCGTTGTGCTCCAGGCAGCAGATCATCAGCTCCGAGAGGATGACCACCCCGGTCCTGCCCACGCCAGCGCTGCAGTGGACTACAATCGGAGGGGCCCGGTTCTTGGCACCTTCCAGCATGCTGTTGGTATGGCGACGGACCGACTGGATCTCCTCCAGGTAGGCTGTGGGACAAAACGGCATCTTATCACCAAATCCTGCTTAGCTCTGCATACAATCTGGGGGCGGGTGGATCTCTCGTCTTTTAAAGTGACAATAATTTATAGTTCTTACAAGACATTAATTATTTGGCTGGTACCTGCTATACAGTCTTGGATCCAGAAAGGACCAGCTGGGAGTCAATTAGTCCAAGGGAGAAGTTGTTTTTTAAATTAAATAGTTCTTTTTTAAAAATTAAATTCTGTTTTCCCCTCCACAAATCCCTAAGTCCCCCAAGCAGATGATTCTAGACATTACTTACAGCAACTCCTACCATTATCAGACTGGGATCAGAACAGCAGCTAAGTCCCCTTGAAACGCCCGCGTTTCAGAGCCAATTTCTGCTGGAGAGAGAGCAGCCATCTGCCCCTTCCTCCTCCCCTGCCTGAACCAGTGAATGTTGAGAACCTTGACTCTTATTTTTAGGTTTTAAAAGAGACTCTGGGGAGGACGCTTTTCAGCACTGACTCCAGGAGGTCAGAGAACAGCTCAAGGTCAGGCCCCGGGTGGGGGGGAACATCCCATGGGGGGTGGGGGTGGCCCTCCAACCTCCACCCAACCTCCACCCAGCCCCTGCGTCTGGAAGCGGAACAATGGCAGCCATGCAGGCCTGTAACGGATTTCCCCCGGGGATTACGGAAAAGAGGAAAGTACGTAAATGGAGTCTCCAGAAAGTCCAAAATCCAGGAAAGTCAACTTGTAATTTAGATTCTTGCAGTAGCTCAGGGGACAGGTAGGTTTAAAGGTTCTTGACACTCAGAAAGCCTCATCCTAATTGAACAAGTAAACAAGGAAATGCTGCAGTTGTTGGACAGAAAAAGTACACCGAACCATTCTAGGAATTTAAAAGTATTGATTTACATGCAATTAATAAGTACCGGCATTTTCCTTTATAACCCATACAATTACAAATTACTCTGAAGGAGTTCACGGAATAGACAAACTATTATCACTGTTTTTACAATGAGGACGAGTACAGCAGTGCTAATACTAGTTGCACTAACGCACAATGAGCTACAGCAAAACGAAAAAAGCAAACATCCCGAGGTGAGCAAAGGGGACAACTGCTGAGCATCCACAGGGGCTACCGACTGGGCACAGCCCTCAGCAGTTCCTCCACAAGACAGACGAGATCAGCTAACTGGATTTCCTGCCTGACCAAGGGTTCACCTACAAGACACACAGCTTTTCTTGAGCTGAATTTTATAAAGAAAAAAGAAACGTTGGGCATTTGGGCACATGCTACTTTCCCACAGAAGTTTTCAATAAAATGCAGAGAAGCTGGCCTGGAGTGGATGCCTCCTCTATCAATCACACTTATAATGTTCCTGAAGCCATAAATGGACGGAGACTTCCAAGGCAGGGAGGAAACGTGCCTTAGGCACTTGCGCCTAGGCAGTCAAGCTGAAACATGGGCAGAAATCCTCAGTCCTACAGGACACAGGGCCAACACTTCCAAGGCTCTGTAAACCACACCTGCTTGAGTTTTTAAGAAATAACTTAGGAAATCAATGTATATCCTTTGAAAATAGCCTTTGCATTTTTCAGTCCTTCAGACTGGCTTTCTATAAACTGGCTCTGATTTAAATGATCTGGTCACCCTTTCAACCACCCTGTAAATCCAATGTCTCATCAGGGCTGACGGCCAATCATCAAACCAATCAACTTCTAGTGTTTTCCATTTTCTGCCTCCTGGAGACAATTTTAGTAAGTCACTTAGTAACAGCATATCTGAAAGGAATAAAAAAGAGGACCACCAGGAGGAAAGAAAGCTCTGCAAAGAGCTCCGGGCTTCCCTCCTTCATACTGGGAGCTACAGGTGAGGGTAACTGGCTGTTTCACCTCAGGCAAATCATTAACCCTCTCTCAAACTTAGAGCAAGAACAAAAAGACATCTGACTGGGGGTGGGGGGGAGGGAAGTGGGGAGGGAGGCTGTTACTGGACACCCACAGCTACACACCAGCTGGAGAGCCTTTGATTCTGACCACCTTTCCGCTCTAGCATCTTCACTTTAACGGCAAATGAAACCCGTGTGTCAGTGAGTACACACACTGACAGAACTTGTACACTGATCATCTGGGGCTCTTAGAAGCCGATTCTCTCTTTTTACCTCCTTCTCCCTCTACCCACCCCTGTATCCCATCATGGTAAAAATCCAGGTTCTGGCGCCATCCACCACCTGGAAGATGGGTTACCGGGGGCGGCCAGAGGCTGCAGCCAGATGCAGAAGCAAGGCAGGAGGTGTAAGTCTATGTCCTTTCCTGCTAGGTGAGTGGAGAATCGGTCTTCTCCCCAGGCTGGGACAGAGGGCTGAGGGAAAGGTACTAGGAGGGCGCGGCCACCACCGAGAAGATGGTGGGGTGAGAGCTCACCCCTGGCCAGAAGGGACTGTCAGCACCTTTGGAGCAAGACTACGATGCCAATTTCTTCACAATTCGGCCCACTCCAGACTTCTGGCCTTTCAGATAAACTACTCCCCATACTCTGGTGAAGTCGTTTCTGAAATATCACAGCCTAAGAAGAGATGTCAATTAACGAGGCAGACACCTGAGCACGTTTCAGTTTCCAAACCTACAAGCTCATTTCACTAATCACAAGCACCTGAGTCGCGGATGGGAGCGAGCACTGAGATATTGTTGCAGGGAAGCACTGGGCTCGTGAGACACAAGGCTGAGTGAGAAAGGAAAACAGCAGTTTGCTTGTCTTCTATTTCTTTGCGGTCTGTTGTAATTGTGGGAAAACAGGCATGGCGTGAAATTCACCGTTCTAACCACTTTTAAGAGTAAACGTGGGGCCCTCAAGTATATCCACAATTCTGTGTAACCATGACTGTCCTTTCCCAGAACCTTTTGGGTCCCAAACAGAAAGCAGTCAATGTCCATCACGTCCCCACATAGGAGGCGCTGTGCACTACTTGTGCCTGGCTGCCTTCGCGGGGTGTAGTCCGCAAAGCTCAACCATATCTCAGTTCGCATAGAGATTAATGAGTAGCCAATTCGGTTGCTACACTCTTAGCTCATTGGCATAAAAGGCGAACAGACTTTAACAAGTGCTGTTGATCTGCTGATTGACAAAGTAAAGAAAGAACAGATATTTCCACATTATAAAACGTTTGCCACTTAAGAGAAACTATCCCCTCCCCAAGAAAGACCGCGGAGAAAAACTTACACAAAAACCCTTGGACATCCTCTGGGCAGCCGTGGTCCGGCCAGTCTGTGTATTGCAAATGCCACACTGTCCTTTCCTGTCCGGACAAAAGGTGCTTGACCTTCAAGCCTGTGGTTGCATAGCAACCAGAATCTGTCCGGAACTTCGTGGTGACCTTGAACTTGCCGTAGGTGGCTGAGCTGTGCTTGGAACCCAGTTTGGGCCAGTATCGGTGGCTTTTGTTTCGTCCGCCTTCCTGAATCACACACACGAAAGCAAAATGGAAAATTAGGCCCAGGGAAACGCTTACCCTCTTCATCTTCAGATCTGAGATGGGCAGCGGGAAATTCAGAGGAAAGGGAGCGCAGAGCAGACACAGGGACAAGCGGGTGTGCTCGACTAACACAAAAGTCCTCAGCAGCTGCGGGGGCAAACGAGGGGAGCGGAGGGGAAGACGGGGGGCAGGCTCGGGACAGTGCTGGACAGCGGAAGGACGAGGTTGGACACGTGGCTCCGCGGCACCAACCTCTTCCCTTCCGTTTCTTCTTCTTCAAATACGCGTTGTCAGTCGTTCACAAAAGGCCTAGTTTTAACTTTCACTAAGGGAAGTAACTGGAGCAGAGTGGGCGGTGGAGGGGCAGGGCCAGGGCAGGGGTGGCTGGGGGAGGAGGCGCGTGGACCCTGCAGGGCCGAGGCCTGGCCTGAGCTCTCGCCGCCACCCCACGTGGAAAGGGAGGGACACCGTGACCGCGCTGCGCACCCCGGGTTGGATGGAGGCGCCCGAGTTCCAAGCACAAAGTGCTTGGGACCAAAATGTAGAATACATATCTTGAAATAGGAAGAAAATGTTTAAAAGGGAAGGGGAACCAGGGAGGAGGGGTGGGGGGAAGGGAAGAAGGGGGAAATGCAAAAAAGAAGGAAAAAATGGAAACAAAGCCTACGTAGATGGGGAGGGAGGAGGGGTTGAAGCCAGGTAAGGGGAACGGGGGAAAAAATAAGAATCAAGATACATCGTGTACAGGTACAAATTCCCAACAATGAATGCGGTCATACTGTATACCTAAAATGTACCAATGAACTTAATGGGTGATAAAAAAAAAGTAGGCTCCCATCATGAGATGCTGGATTTATCTCCACAGTGCCTACATTCCTGCTGTGTGGGGACACGTGAAATCCCTGGGTGGCTCAGACCCCTGGCTCTGCGCTGTCCTGCCCCGGCAAGTCCCTCCTCCTCACAGCTGTGACAGTCACACGCCACACCTCGCAAAGGCCCTGACGGAGGCCACACCCACCCCATCATCTGCCTGCCCCTGCCTGCTCACGGCTACTTTGCACTGTCCCCTCGCTGGCACACAGTTCCACGGGACAGGAGCTCCTGTGTCCTTCAGCTCGGGCCCCTCGGCTGGCACAGGTGACCAGCTCTGTTCTGCTGATGGATGCCTGCGCCCAGCAAGATGACACGCCCAGTCTGCAGACTCAGGAGAATTCGCTCGGGTGGCAAGGTCACCTGAAGGTTGGCCCCGTTCAATGGCTTTGGAGCACTCGCGGCCCCTTCACCCCACCGTCCAAAGGGCAGTTGGGGAACGAAGTGCCCCGGACAACAGGACCCCTCCTTCCTCTCTACCCTGCCCCTGTGCAGTCAGGAAAGCCTACGGCAACTCCTGCATCTGTAAGTGACACAAAACAGGAGCTGGCTTTTCCTGAGAGGATCAAAGGGAGGTGGCTGGGAAAGAATCCGAGTTGGTGATGAGAAGCAACACAACCTTCCTCGTCCCACTGGGCAGGGAGGGCTGCGCTGCCCCCGTGACACAGCACGGAGCTCTCTGGCTGCGACACAAAACCGTGTTTGGCTTGGCACAGGCGAAACGGATTTGTTTCCTCTCTCCAAAGAACAGACATGGCTCCAGGACAGCCACTCTGGTCCCGATAAGCACAGTGGCCTGTGGGGCGAGCCACCTCCTCCCCATGCAGCACACTGCTGGGACACAAGTGCGGCCTTTTTCCGTCTTCTGTTGTTTTGTTTTCATCACTGCCGAACATGGCAATCCCGAGAAAAGTGTTCAGGGTCACATGAAAATGGGAGGCGAAAAAGCCACCGGGACACATTAGCCAGGTGTGGGGTGGACACGGAAAGAGACGAGAGGCCGGCTGAGGGGGAGAGGCGGCAGGGAGCGAGCAGGGCAGGACGGCACGGGCACCCTCGCCACCCTCTCCCCTTACCTCCTCCGCGGTCACCATGGCGATCACGTTCACCCCCTGCTCCCACACCATCTGCCAGAAGTCGTGGCACGTGTGCGGCAGGGGCCCCTGTGTAGCGATGTAGTGCCATTCTGCACCCCCGGCCACCACCTGCGGCCAAGGAAGCATCGGCAATGAACCCCAAGACCAAGGTCCCATGCTGCGCACTTTGCTCATGGGGCCACCTCCAAACCTGGTCGTGTGCTGGGGGCCAAACAGGTCAGTAACAGCCAGGGCACAGTCTCACAAAAGAAGACCTTTGCTATTGCTACTCAGACTTCTCACAATATATTATTAACCTTACCTGTTTTTGTCTGCAATAGCTATGTGTAAACTAGTGCGCATTACGAATATACACACAGGGCCAAGGATTTGGCTCAGTGGTGCCGCTGCCTGCCTCGCAAGCGCAAGGACCCGAGTTCGATCCCCAGTAATAAAAACAAAATATATACACACAGACATATGTGGAGACACACCACAGCACATGAACACGTATCTGTCCAGCCCGACAGACCCTGTTACAGACACAATCACTACGCAGCTCTGCACCGCTCACCCGACAACGGCACCCTACCCACCCACAGACACAGAACCACGGATGCCCACCAACGTGGCTCCCAAACCCTCTGCTGCGTTGAGGACCTCAGTCTGAATAGCCGTCACCACGGGTAACTGCTGAGTCCAACTCCTCCTGTACAAACCTCCGGGCTCACAGGCCCCCGCTGGCCCTGCTGCTGTGTGACCCAGCAGCTGGTGCTCCAGCGATACCGCCCAGGGCAGTGCCACGGCCTCCAGCTGAACCGGAGGGCCATGGTCACCTGGGATCACAAAGCCACTTCCCCTCACAGCTCAGGGTGGGCGTGGGAGGCTGCCATGGAAGTATCAGCTGCTGAGAACCGCAAGCCCCAAGCCTGGAAGGCTTGGGATGCTCTCTGCTCTCTGCAGGGACTCCTTCTGTTCTCCTTCCACTCCTGCACCTTGATTTGCAAAGAGAGGCCTCCTTTAGGTCAGGCATACAGCTGAACACCTGTAATCCCAGCACTCGTGAGGCTGAGGCAGGAGGCTCGTTGTGAGTTTGATGTGAGCCTGGGCTATACAGTGAGTTCAAGGCTGGCCTGAACTACATAGTGAGTCAGTCTCTCTCTCTCCCTCTCTCCCTCTCTCTCTCTCTCTCACACACACACACACACACACACACACGCCAAAAAAACAGAGAGGCCTTCTTCTTACCCACTCATGGAAGGCAGGACTCCAGCAGGTTCTAGGAGCAATGACACGATCCCTGTCTGAAACTTTCCCTCTTGTTTATGAAACTACATAGTAACTCCATTCAAGCAAAACCAACGTCAGCCATTGTCTCATTACACGAGACATGTTTAGGTCAAAGCTGGCAACAAAAACCCATTTTCCAAGTGCGGTGGGAGAAACATTCATATACTCACTGGCGAGGAGTTGAGTTTATCTGTGGAACTGTGATTTTAAACATCAGGCTCTTTGGCACCCAACATATAGGAACCATAAATCCTTCCAGAGAACGCTGCTGCCTGGGGCCTCTCTGCAGACTCCAAGTATTGACAGGAGTGAATTAAAAACGGCAGTAAAAACTCCACAGCCAGCGCTACCGAGGCAGACTTCACAGATGTGGATCCACCTCTGCAGCACATAAATCTCCCTGTGCTAACGGCTGCAGGGAGCCCAGGGGAGCAAACACTGGCAGAATTTGCAGCTCTCTTCCAGCAGCACAAGGGCAAGTCCTTGCAAGTGCTCCGGTCTGTGAAGTGTACCAGCGGCTACCCCGTGTCCCAGCCGGAGCTGCGGGCGGTGCAGAACGCAGAGGAAGGGAGGGCAACATGCTTCACCCTGCCCGGCAGGGCTGGCTGCACAGCGACAGCCTTTTCCAGGGAGCAGGTGGGAAACATGGAGGAGATTTGGCCAAAGGGCGAGGAGAAGGGAATATTCACAGACACTACATCAAGATGCAGCTGTGCCCTCAATCTCTGGGTGCCTTATTCCACTCGAGATTTCAAAAACTAAACTGAGCCCACCATCAGTTTACCGAACAGCTTCCTGGGGTTGTTTATGGTTCTGATTCTCGTTCTCCAACAGAACAGCAAAAATGTCAGCATGAGCTGTGACTGTTGCTCTTTCCTATTTCTTCCAACAGCATTTTCTGATGCTGGAATGTCTCCACTTCAAACCCTAGCTGGGGTCTAGCTAAGCTCTGAAACACGGAGGGATGAGGGTCTGGAGTATCGGGAATACTAACAAAGCTCTGACACTGCCAATTCACGGACCAGTATTGCAAATCTTGCAAGATTCTATACCAAGTACACTGCGTATGGTTTAAATTAGTGCACTCCTTCCTCTAAATGTCGTGCAAAACTGAATGACCCCTACAGTGAGTAACACAGTGTGCTGCAAGGAAGAAAACAGTATTTGTTGGGGGAACAGACTAGAACCTTCAGCGACAGTGGCAGTGTGACTTCCCAAGCTGAGCACTGGCTGAGGAGGACAATTGCCCTCTCCCCGTGAGCGTGATGAGGGTGCTCACCCTGGAGAAAAAGCCTGGCTCTCTGGGATGAGCAAGCTTCAGAAATGGCTGACCTGAGGCTGCTAGCTTCCCTCTCTCTGCATGGACAGGGACAGATGTCCTTTCTGGATTTCAAAGGCACCCCCAAGGGACTGGGGATGAGCCAAGAGGCGCAGCTGCAGCCCAACATCTTTTTATATGCAATCCTGGGCATTGAACACGGGGCACTGCACGTGTGTGGCAAGTGCTGCCCCACAGAGCTATACACTGACCCTTTCTATTTGTTTTCAGACAGGGCCCCTCCAAGTGGCTAAGTTGCCCAGACTGGTCTCCGCCTTGGGATCCTCCTGCCTCAGCCTTCAGAGCAGCGGCATGACAGGCACGCACTGCCGCCCGTGCTTCACCCCCTGTGCTCTGCCTTTGGCCCTGCAGCCTCCCGCCGTTCTCCATACGCACCTTGACATGGGATGCGTTGATGTAGCCAGTGTTGTTCTCTTTGGTTGGCATCAGCTCCACGCGGTTCTCCTCGTAAGGAACCACCTCGCGGATCCGGCTGCGCTCAGCATTTTCCGGCAGAGTCGCGGTGCTGAAGACGCCGTTGGCCTTTTTCTTTGGAATCTGCTCATATTCTGTGAACACCATGCCCTCTTCTAGCTTCTTCTTCAGGGTCCTGAACTGCAACGGAAGTTAACCTTCAGCCCTCACGATATTGCACCCAAAGACTCCAACCAAACCACCAGACAACCCTGATATTTAGTGACGGTGCCCGGGCGAACACAGTCCTGGTCGATGTGCTCTCACTATTAACCCTGTCACCAGCTTTTCTTGTGAGATAACCATTTTCCTTACCACTCATGCTATAAATCAAATCTGTGTGAGCCAAAATTTAAGATCAATACTTTGGATACTAATACTAATGTCTATGTAAAGTCAGGACGATCAGAAACTGTTAATCTTTGTCACCCACACAATCTTTTCTCTATGTGCACAGATGTTTGTACTGAGATAAATTCTAAGATAATACCGACGCACAACGGCGTAGGTCTCAACATCGAATCCGATCCCACTTAGTTTCCCTCCCTGGCCAAACTGCTAATTACAATAGAACGGTGTGGGATGACTGAATGAACCCTCTAAGGTCCCCATACCCCGGACGTGTTCTAATGCCGAACACACGGCAGCCAAAATCTCACACCCTAACGTTAGCAGCGTTCGATTCCATCTATGCAACTGCTCTCAACCTTTCCACGCCTTTCCTCTCCTCGGTGACACTGCCCCACAGCAACTGTTTGCCTTTCAAAACCACAGCTCTCACAATGCATTAACCTGACATCTGTAAGTCAGCCATGATTTACAGCTACCCAGGGGGTCGCCACAGATGCCTGGAAAAAAGAATCACCTCCTGATTGCTTCACAAACAGCATAACACTAGAGAGCGAGAGAGAGAGTATTTAACTTTCTCATCTTACAGAAAAAGGAAACCAGCCAAAAGACAGGGAGAGCCGTGGCCAGGTTGTACAGTGTGTTAACAGATGCTCCTCACAGCCCAGCACTGATTCTCCGATTTGTAAAGCGGAAGAAACACCAGATGTCGGGAGGAACCGATGTAATAACGCAGTACAGTCAGACTGGGTCTCCTACTCTGCCACTGAAGAGTCCATCCCTCAAACAAACGCAGCGGGCACAGTCATGGCCAGGAGGGAGGGACAGAATCCCGAGACCCGCACTTACCCTCTCGTCCATGGGGATTCGGGCGGCTCCGTGGTGACAATCTTCCCGCCCCGTGACCCGGGCCACCGAGAGGCCGTTCAGCGCTGCCAACATCAGCGGCCTTTTCTGCGCCTCCAGGCTCGCGATCTTCTGCTTCTCCAGATTCTTGTAGCAAGAAAAGGCGTGTTCTCATGGTGTACCACGCCGGCAGAAGGCCGGAACGCACCTTAGTCTCCCCGATCTGCACCTCCCCAGCTGAGTCACAGGCACCCCTCCTCCCACGGTGCCCAGGGCGCCGGCTTCACCAGACCCCTGTGCTGTCTGTAATTGATTCATCGGCTCATCGGGTAGACTAACAAACACACGGTGTTACCCAGGGGGCTCACGGAAGGGGGGTCTGGGGGCCACGGGAAGACCAGATGAGGAAAACAAAATCACACGAATCACCTGATGCAATCGCAAGGATGGACCCTTTCCACAGCCTGCGGCGAAACTTTCCCAAATGTTTCGTTGTTGACGGAGAGGGACAAATGGCAGGAGGAAAGTCCTCCTGGGAGTCCATCTGAAGGGTGCGGTGTCCCTCAGAATGCACACCCACGGATGGGAGCCCCGGGGCCAGGCCAGGCCTTCACCGGATGTGGCTGAGGCCTGGAGAGCCCAGATGTGGCACTGCCCACACGGGAGGGCCAGACATTTCCGCCTGGCTCTGGTCAGTGATTTTCCATCCACCTCCTCTCTCCTCCCCAGCACCTGCAATGGGCCTTGGTCAACCAGGGCCTGGCTCCTGGTCCCCCACTGTCCTCAAAGCTGACAGAGGTACGAAGGCAGCGCATTGAGCAATTCCCCAAAACAATATTGTCTTGGATGTCAAAGGAAGAAGAGGGGCTTCGTAAAGGACAGGAAGAGGTGAGCCGGGTTCTGGTTTTGTTTTACTGCGGCACTGGAGACTGAACCAAAGCCTTCGCACTGAGCTACATTCTCATCCCTTTTAACCTGAGACAGGCTCTTCCCAAGTTGCCAGGATGAGCTGAAATTATAGGCATGTGCAGCCCCAACCTCTCCGGGCTAGCAACAGTGAGTTTCATAGAAATTCTATTGAAACAGAAGTGCAAGCAGCCTGCAAGCTCTTCTAGGAAGGGTTTCTAGTCGAGCAGTTACAGGCATTTTTCTCATCATGTCCTTTATGAAGTTAATCTCCAGGGTAGGTATCTCACTGGAGCTGTGTGCTAGGTAACAGAGGGTGAGCAGATTATTCTAAGGGGGGTGGCAGTATCACCTACAATCTGAATGCAGCCTTCTGGTGGTGGTTCCTGGCGGGGGGGTGTCTCAGAGGAAGCAGGGTGGGTGGGTTGTGACCAGAGAGGCAAGTAGCCAGACTTTCAGCTAAAAGAAACCCTTAATGGCTTCCTTCTCAATGCTAGGCAGCCCCAGGGGAAGATTCTGGATTTACCTTTTTGGTCGTTTGCTTAGCAGTTCATATTTGTGAGAGGTCATTTTTCCCCAGCACCTCTTAGTTCCAAGTTCTGAGAAAGCCAGAGACCCGGGAAATAATCCCAAGGTCCTTGCCTTCTCCCCTTGTACCCAAAAGGGACCTCAACTGCACCTAAGACAGACAGAAACTCGCCTGTCTTCGGGTAGGATTCCTGTCTACCTGCTGCTCCCTGAAACCCAAAGTGCCAGAAGTCACAGGAGGTCTCTGGCTCCTTCTCAGCCTATCAGCTTCCACCAAGGACAAAAATGTCCCTCCTCAACCTCCGGCCAGCTTCCCACTGACCGACTCCTGCTGGGTGAAGGGAGGTGACACCAAGACCCCGGAGAAGGAAGGAGCCGGAAAGGCCAGGCCCTGAGTCCTTCATCACAGGACAGAGGAGAGACTATCCAGGGCACGTTCTCCCCATACCTGTCCCCCAACTTCCAGTGCTTGAAGTGCTTCCTCCACAGGGGAGCTGAGACTGGGCTGCGGCTTAGGTCCCCCGAGGCTCTGTATTTAGAGACAGATGGAAAACTCAACTCCTAGGGTGGCCAGGTCTCCACCCCGGCGGCCTCATCCTCCTCCAAGATCAAGACCCTGGCTGAAGGTCCAAGGGCACAGGCTCGGGTGTGTGCGGGAGTTAAGAGAACTGTGTCCCGAGCGAGAGTCTGATGGGTGAAACTTGCTGGGTGCTCTCATCCGCGTGGATGGAAGGAACAGCATCACGGAGAGAACCGCAGACCCCTGTGGGCCTGGGTGACCTCACAGGGTGCCAGGGCCACGACCCGCTCCGGGCTATTTGTTCAATAAGGGGAACAAGGGAACAAGGTGCCTGTGCCCGAATCTCAGACCGACAAACCCTTCCTGCCCGCGCTGCTTTTAATAGACTTGAGGACAAGGAGTGTTCAAATCCCCTCTATGCCATGAGTTACTCCCTTCCGAGCTGGGAAAGCTTTTGCCGGGGCTGTCGCCCACCCCCACACCCCACTCCACCCCAGCTGTCCTTCCTGGAGGCCCCAGGTCCACCCTTCACTTTCCCTTCCAATGGCAGAAGCCGGAAAAGTTCTAGCTTAGGCTGCTAGACTTGGCCAAAGTAGCAGGGCTGAGAACTCCCTGAGAGTCACAAAGTGCCAGGGATTAGGCTTTCTGGACTTCCTGAAATCTCAGGCCCAGGCCCTGGCTTGTTCTCTCCCCGCCCACTCCCACCCAGTGAGGTCTTAGAAGTTGAGGCTCACAAACCCAGGGAGCCAGTGTTAACCCATAACCCTTCCCGGTTCCCACAGAACCGTGCGAGGGGCTCCCGGTGGTGCAGCTGAGTGAATGGAAAGAAGCCAAGCCGGTTTCACTCAAGTTTTCGTGGCAATAACAATTTCCGGGACAACAGTAGCAGAGGGTTTTATTTTGGTGACACTGGGGATTGAACCAGGGCCTTGCCACTCAGCTACATCTCCAGCCCTTTCTTGGGGACGGGGTCCCCTCCATCTGTAGCTGCCCACACTGCGCTCAAATTGGTGGTCCTCCCCCCTCAGCCTCTCAGAGTGCTCTAATGATTCTTTAAAAAGTGGTAATTGCTATAAAGGACACATCTGAGATATGTGTAGGAAAACGGATACACCTTGACACCATAACGCTAAGTGAAATAAACCAGAACAGCAGCCACGCTATTGTGTGCTTTGTCTTACATGAGCAATCCAAAGTATACAGAAATTAAAGAGCAAAATAAAAGATACAAGGAGACAGGGAGGTAGGTCTTCCTCAAATGTGAAGGGAACCAAGGGATGAGAAGGGCAGGTGAGACGGGAGTAAGAATTCAGCCGTGTTACGCACAGTACCAGCAGCACTGCAGTTACGATGTACAGCACACATGTACTCACGAGAAGCTCAGAACTCTCCAGTGACGAGACAAACCAATCAGACACCGACGGCAGTGAACGCACTCCCCGAGCAGGCCTCACAGCTGCTCTGGAGCCAGAGCCCGGGCCGGGCCTGGCGGTGCGGGGACACTCACCCTCAGCATCATTTCCCGCTCCACGATGCTGTCCTCCAGGGAGAACATCTCGGACACGGGCCTCTCCTTCACCGGCTCCTTCCTGGCCCGCTCCTTCACGCTGGTCAGGTCGGGCTCGGAGATGGACGGGCCCAGGGCCGACCCATTGACGGCCGGCTGGTCGGCCCGGGAGATGCTGAGCGCCTTGGCCGGTCTGTGGCGCAGCATGC